TCAGTAGGAATACAATACCCAAAGTAAATAATGTGCATATTTTGAACAATAACCAATGTGAGAGCAAAACAATTTTTGAGTACTTTTAGTCAGATTCTAATATACCTAATACAAAGAACAATAAGACTAAAGCATAAATAAAAACAAGACTAAAGTATGCAAAATATCTGAGAATTTCCACGGTACCTACTTTTCAAAAAGATCCCATGCAAATTGTCTAAGGAAAATACTGACCAAAGATCAATATACCACCCTGGTTTCTCACACTGCAGAAAAAAAATTATGTCATTCTACTACATTTAATACAGAAGAGATGACAGCCTCTATCCAACAACAAATGACAAATTAATAAATAACACCATATTTCATTTGTATAATGATTTACAGTTTACAGTTGACAAAGCACTTTGACCTTCACAGTAATTTTGTTTTCTTGCTCTCTCCCATTGGATAGATTAAAAAACTAAGGACTGAAATGGAAAAGGTCTTTCTAACTATGACTCAAAATCCAAAAGCCATAAAGGAAAATATTGAGAAGTTTGTCTATATAAAAAAATCTAAAAAAAAAAAAAAATCTAAATTTTCTGCATAGGAATAAAAAAAGAGAGCAGACAAATATCAAAATGGGACAATATTTGCAATATATACCACAGACAAAAAAATTCTCTTATATGTGATATTTGTACATCATATATAAAGAGAGAGACCTAGAAATCAATAGGAGAGACCTATGATCCAACAGAAAAATAGGTAAAGAATTTAAACAGGGAGTTTACAGAAAAGGAATTATGAGTGACTCAAACAATATAAAGAGAGGCTAAACCTTAACATATATATTTTTTTAATTACTCTAAGGTATCATTTTTCTCTATCAGACTGGCTAAAAATCAAGTTTGACAACATCAAAGCATAATATTAACAACACTGATTATGGAGCCCAAGCGCTTAGTTTGAAATTCTGCCCTGGTAGCTGCATGATTTCAACAAGTCACTTAAATTTCCTATTCACCAATTATTCACCTGAAAAATGGAGATAATAATAGTACCTACCTCAAAAGGATGTTATTAAGATTAAACAAGGTAATGTTTATAAAGCACATATGTATCTGGCACATCGTAAGCACCAAATAAACATTACCTAATGTTGGTGAGTTAACAGGCAATGTATATTGAAACAATCCAACAAAGGAAAGCTATTTGGCAATATATTTCATAGTTACAAATGCATGTATCCTTTGACTTAGAAATCCCACTTTCTGGAAATTTATCCCATAAATACCCTTGCATACATGTAAAAATGACATGTGTTCAAAGGTCTTCATTATAGAATTGCTTATAATATCAAAAGACTGAAAGCAACACAAATGTCTAACAATAAGGAAATAGTTAAATCATGATACATCAATTCAACTGAATACTACTCAAGTATTTAAATAAAAGAAAGAAAGCAGAAGCTCTCTATATACTGATCTGGAAAGGTTTCCAAGATATAGTAGTAAGTGAAAAAGCAGTAAGAGTGAGGGAGTAAGAAAGTGCAGAACAATGGGGAACCATGGGCTAACTCTTGCATGAAAAGTGGGAAAATAAGATTATATATTCATATTTATAAGTATTTGCCTAAAGAAAGTCTGAAGGTATATAAAGAAACTAATAAAGGTGGTTGGGAGGGGGCATGGAACTAGGTGGATGGGGGATAGGCATAGGAGTGAGACTTCCACTCTTTATATAAAACATACATATGCAAATACTTAGCCATTTGAATTCATTATCTATTCAAAGATTAAATTTTTTTAAAAAGCTCACAGAAGACAAGAAATCTGCCTACAAACATTTAGCTGATAATAAGTTTATTAGTTAAGACTTCCATTGCTTTTCTTTGTATCATACTTTCTGAAATTTTCAGGAATGAAAGACTTAAAAATTATTGTAAGAGGCTTTTCTCTGAAACAACAATTCTCGCAAAAATAACACTATAGGCAAAGTGAGACCACACTGAAGTCACCTCCATATGATGACTTGGAAAATAGTATATTATTCATTGTTGGTCCAAAACATTCACTATCACCCACCCGCACTATACAATGTAATGATTGGGCTTCATTTATTGGAAGGAGATGAAATTCTTATAAAATCCCTTGTCACAGGTTTCAAATTCCAAAACAACATTCATTCTGCAGAATAAAGTGTATGACACTAAGAATATGTCTCTCAACACTTTCATGAAGTATAAGACATTAAGAACATCTATAAACACTTTCACATAGGGAAAAAAGTATTAAAACAAGTCAGCTTCCTACTCGAAAGACAAGGAAGGAGTACACATAAATATATAATTTTGTTTATAATTAATATAAGTACAAAATGTTATTGAGGATACTTGGGTGGAGAGTCCCTAGCCTAGTCTTCCAACACATAGATTTTTAAACAGAATTAAACAGTCTAATCATATGCCAAAAGATTTATTCAAGACCATTCCGAATATACATCTGTATGAGAGACTAATACATCATACATCCAGGACACCAAGTATCTGAGGATCTTGGCATTAATTCACACACAAACACCTGTACCACCTAATACTACTTTCTAAGAAGTGCCAAGGAAACTCCAACTCAATCCTGAGCAGCCCTGCCTATAGGATCCAGTATATCTTGTTCCATTTCCCACTTTTATACTAGGCAACTATGACATCCATACTAATGACATATTCAACATACTTCATAGCTCCTTAACCTCCCACTACTTCAATAACCTATACCTCCATTCCCCTTCAACAGCACTGAGACAGTTACATTCTGTTTTTTTGTTTTTACCTTGAAATATTAAACTCTCAGCTTTCTCATTCTGTATTTCTTAGAAAATCTGTCTTCAATCACATTTCTGTTTGTCTTCTTATTTCCTATGCCCTATTACAAATATATTATTTCTAATTTTAACGTGGTCAGCAATCTTTTTTTAACTCCTTAATCCATTCCTATTTCATTTTGATGAACATTGAAGATTTCCATGATCATAATCATAATACTCAAATCAGAAACTCACCATAGTTTCTTCATTCTCCAAAGATAATTGACTTCACAGATAACTGATCACATCAAGAAAATAAGGCCATCTGTGAAACTCCTTCATCTTCTTACCTTCTTTCACATCATTAACCATCTTGACTTCTATCATTTGGTGTCAAAGAATGAAATGCCCAACATATTTGCTAGGTAAAATTTCCTCTCAACTTACGAAACTGTTTCACCCACACTTAAAAAAAAAAAAGGCTTATGTACCATAGGCTTCATAGCTAGACAGACCTTTGTTCAAATTTTTGCCTATAGTCTTCCCAGCTGGAAAATAGGGATGCTGATACCTAAATCACAAGGCTGTTGTGATTTATAAAGCATCTTTATGATATCTGGCATATAATATATTCTCAATAAAGATTTTTTGCTACTCAGCAGCTCTCCTTCACAACCTCACTTGTTAAAAGAGTAGTTTTACTCACTGCCTACCATTTACTCCTCAATCTATCATGATCTGACTACTGCCATCACTGCTACCATTAGACCATCTAAAGTATCTTTCAAAGGAAACAAGTAATCTCCTAATTGCGAAATTCAATGGTTTCTTCTAAATCTTCATTCTACTTGATTTCTGGAGCACCTGACATTGATGGTTACCCTCGTCCTTCGTGAAACTCTTTCTTCCTTTGGCTATTATAATGCCATTCTGTTCTAGTTTCTGTCCCATTCCTTTAATCTCTTTCTCAATATCTATTACCCTTCAAACAATGATGTCCATAGCTCTTCTTTTAGTATTATATCCATACTAAGGCTTCAAATATCCCCCATATATTCTCTGCTGATCCCTCAAATTTACATATTCAGTTCTAATCTTCTAACCAATTTTCAGACCAAAATTTCCAGCTACCCACAGTAATATCTGAAAACCATCTCAAAATAAACTTTCCAAAACCAAATTCATTATTTTCCCTCAAAACTGCTTCTTTATGTTCCTTATTTCAATTTACACTATCAATCTATCCTATCAGCAGAGTCAGAAAATTCTCACCAATTCTCACAACTCTATTTTGAAACCTCATGGAATTGCATGCTATTCTCTTCATTTTTCTACCACCATTCTAGTTCATTCCCTTTAATCTGGATTAGCACACTAGTTTCCTGCCTACCTAGGCTTTCTGCCACCACACTGTCTTTACTTCCAATTCTTTCTCCGGTTTTCACCAGAGATAATCAATGATCCCAAACTCCTGCTTACAAAACCTGCAATGGCTCCCCATACCTACAGAATAAAGTCCAAATCTTCCAGCAACGTTTTCTCAGAGGTATAAATTGAAAGGTTTTTAAATCAGAAAAACCGGAGTTTCATTTCTAGCTAAATCTGAAAACAGGCTTAGTCCAGAATCTTCAACGTAAAAGGCAGAGGAGGGAAAAAAAGATGAGGAGAAAAGGGATGATGACAGGGGAGAAAAAAAGAGAGGAAGACAATAGTGTCTGAGGGGAGGGAAGTATCTTTTGAGGGGAGAAGTGAATATTTTCGAGCGAAGAGTATGTTAGAGGGAAATAAAGCAAAGGAATCCAGATCTCTGAAGGAGGAGGGTATACTGAGACGAGGGAGGCTCTCAGTAAAGAGTTAGAGGTCTCATAAACAGTTCTCCAAGAAAATGAAGGATTCCTGAGTCTCTGAAGTGAGGAAAGTCCCTAAGAGGAGTAAGGGACCAGAGGTCCCTGATATGAAGGAACTTCTAATGGGTTCCCGGCCTCTGAGGCGGGAAGTTGGGGGAAGGAGGTCCCTGAGGGAAATGAAAAAGTAAGGAGAAAGGTTCGAGGAGTGTCCCCAGCCACTGAGAGGAGCGCCACTGGGAAGTGACCAGGTCCTGACAGCACCAAGAAACTCGAGCGCCAGTGCTCCAAAGCCGAGACGAGTATAGCAGCCGCACGCGCGGGCCAGGGTGCCCCGGATTTGTGCTCCACGCGCTCCCTTGGCGTTACCTGAGGCGGGACTGAGCAGCCAGAGGGGTACCTGCACGAGCGGGAGGGGGAAGCGGCGGCAAAAGGGAGCATAGTAGCCCTCACAGCTCGGAGGCGGCAGCGGCTCTTAGCCTGCGGAGGCGCTGGGGGATCTCTCGCGCAGAAGCCGGCGTTTCCGCGGAGCTAGTGGCGGAGGCGGACGAGAAGGCTACTGCCATGGCCCCGCAGTCGGGGCCACTCCCCCGCGCCTGTTTAGCCGGGCCAAGGGGATGCTCTGGCCAGCGAGCCAGAGAGGACAGCTAGAACAGCCGCTGGGCTCCCCGGCCGCCAGCGACTGAAACGCCTGCCCAGCCGGTCGGAGGAGCTGAGGGCGGGGCTCCGAGTGAGCACGCCCCTCCCTCACAGCAGCCAATCAATAGTCAATCCTTGATATACGAGCTAGAGAAGTTACCCAATTAGCGTCAGGAACGCCACGTGGTATGAGGTTGGCCACAATGGGCGTCAAGAAAAGCCAATCAACAGCCCTAGGCGCCAACTCGGGAGGATGCAGGGAACCAATAGGAAGGAAGTGGAGGTAAAAACAGAAGCAGCAGTATGTTGGAAAGGCGGAACCAAGGCAGAGGGAGTACACCTGGGGAAGACCCAAGTCCAGGAGCCTCGCAGAGGGCGGGACAGTAAACACAAAATGAGCCAATCAAAATTCCAAACATGTAAGCGATTGGTAATTGACAAAGCCAATAGAAAATGGATTAGATTCGCGCGGCTTTTGGGTTGGTGAAGGTATAGCTGAGTAAGGATTGTCTCTGTTTAAGAAAAAGTCATATGAACGCAGCGTCCTGCAGGATCTCAGTATAGTGTAGGGGAAAACTGATACATAAACAATTACTGTATTACCGACTTGAGATAGTAACAGCACGGGGTAAGGTTAAACAAAACGCTGAGGGAGCGATTCTTCTAAACTAAGATTAGTTTCAGTGAAGGCTTCTTGGAGGAGTTAACACTTGAGCTGTCTTGAAAACTGAGGAATTTTAAAGAGCTGGGTAGAAAATAAAAATCCTATTCAACTGTTCAACAGGCACATGTTTCCTCATAATTTCATGCCTGAGCAAACTGGAACAGGACTAGGGCTTCTAGGGCAAGAGCAGGCAAAGGAACAGTGGAATATGGACCTGCCTGCACCAGCATTCTCTGGGATTAGAGATCACCTTTCCTACATATTTAAACTTGTCTCCTACACCTGCTGTCAAGGGTCTTGACAAATGAGTGGGATCTGAATAGAGTAGTCCACCCTTATCCTCAGTTTCAGTTGTTTCAACTACTTTTGGTTAACTGTGGTCCGAAAATATTAAATGGAAAATTCTAGAAATAAATAATAATTTTAAATTGCAGCCATTCTGAGTAGCATGATGAAATCTCACATGGTCCTGCTCCATCCCTCCTGGGACATGAATCATCCTTTCGTCCAGTGTATCTCTGCTATATAAGCTACCTACCTGCCAGTTAGTCACTTAGTAGCCATCTTGGTTATGAGATCAACTGTCCTCATATTATAGTGCTTGCATTCAAGTAACCCTTAAATGTCTCATTCATCTCACTTCATCTCTTCACATAGGCATTTTATCATCTCACGTCACAAGGGTGAGTACAGTACAATAAGGTATTTTGAGAGTGACCATATTCATATAACTTTTATTGCAGTGTATTATCGAAATTGTTCTATTTTATTATTAGTTGTTAATCTCTTACTGTGCCTAATTTATAAGTTAGGCACAGTAAACTTTATTATGGGTATGTATAAGAAGAAACATAGTATATATAGGGTTCAGTACTATCTGTGGTTTCAGGCATCCACTTGAGTCTTGGAACATATTCTCCATGGATAAGGGGGGACTACTGTGGTTGGAGTATAGGTGGTGTGCATTCCTGGTGGCAATACAGTTTAAGAAAGATGTGTGGTAGGAGATAAGAATGAAAAGAGAGGTTAAATGTGAGTTGAGCTTCAATATCAAATTTGTCCTTTCTTTTTTATGCTGTGACAACTATCAAAGTTTCTTGAGTAAGAGAGTAGCCTTAACAGGACACTGTTTTAGGAAGATTTATTAATAGCTCACATTATCTCTGAAGGAAGAAAAGAGATTACCCTAGCCAAGTCCCCTCCGCCCAAAGCCTTTTCTGTGTCATTCTTCTGGCAGTAAGTCATGTGCTGCCACCTGGTGACAGTTCAGATACAATTGTTCCACATAGCTAATGTTTCTGCTGTTAGAGCTCTGGCTCTCTTGCAAACCTGTCTCCAACAGAGCTTGATGCAAAATAGTTGATTAATAAGTAGGGCACTGGTAGCAAGTAGAATTGAATAATGCCAACATGCCAGAAGTATCACCTGTCCAGTAAAAGATGTAAAAGACAGGGGTTCCTT